AGACTTAGTAATAAAAATTGATATAATTATGAATAAAAAACAAAAATATGATATAAAAATGAATTTAATTAAATAAAAATGAAAATTTTATTCAAAAAAATTTCGTAATTTTTTTTTTTTTTTTTTTTTAAAGATTATAGTTGTGTATAAAAAATCGCCTAATAATCATTATCTAAAATTATGTAAAAGTAAATAAATAACATAATTATATACAATTTTGTATAATTTTATATGAATTACACATAATTCAGTACAATCGTGTAAACATTTTTTTTCCAGGGATGTTCATAATACGACGGTTACTGTGAACTACAGTGGTGCAAACGATTATTTTAAACATTTAAATATTTTGATTAAAAAAAATTAATAAACCACATGATTGAAGGGGGAGTTTATCTAAAAATAAATTTCAAAATCGAAAGTTACATAAAAGTGATCATTAGCTTTTTTTCGACTTAACTAATATTTGTAAAAATTAATGTCAGAAACACAGTGCAGGGAATCAAATCTCTGTCGCATACACGCTGTCCATAGACTCACTTTCACGCTTCTTACGAACGGAAAGAGGAATGAATGGGAGCTCCAGAAATCGAATAAAATTTCCAACTCGCCACCCATCAGAGAACCAAATATTTAAATATATACTGCAATGGTGAATTATATATCCATAAATAAAGCCAAAACTGTAGGACCTACTGCTGGACTTTTTTTCCAAGTAGCAATATAAAACAATTTGTTTGTAAAATATAAGATGAATTAGTGTGTTTTCTCGACGTATGCCTGTTTATATTATCATATAAACTGTAAAATAAATTTTTTTTTAAGTAAACAGAAATTTATAAAAATCAACAAGAATCAAATTTATATATAAGTCATTCCATGATGAATCAACCACTTTGAATCTGACTCGTTTCAATTTCACCGACGGTTTACAATTTTTTTCAGCATCCCAAAAGCGTTTTCGATGAAATTTTTTGGTTGTTTGACAAGAAAATTGTCTTTGTCTGAAAATCCATCATTTAAAATTTTTTTCCTGAAAAATTTAAATAAAAAATTGGTTGTTCTGTAATTATTTTTATGCCGCATGAAGTAGGCCAAATTTCTATGGATTTATTCATGTACAATTAGAAAAAAATTTTTTTACAATACTTATGTAACTTTTTCTAATTCAGAACTGTTTATAAATAATATAAAAAACAACACGGAAAAAAACGTGCGGTAAATCCAACATCACTTGGAGTTGTCACAGAAACACATGAAAATCATCCGTAAACACACTATAGCGTATATATACTTTAGTCCATCCTGTGGTAAATGCTACTCCAAGTGTAGTTGGATTTACCGCATTTTCTTTTCCGTGAATGAAAAAAGGTTCGAATAATTTTTATGTAATGTAGTTAATAAATTACATTTGAAAAAAACGTACCGTAAATTCGAATATTATAAAAGTTATAGCTATTACAAAAAAAAAAAAATTTTAAATAAAAAATTTATATTTTTCTTCGATTAAAAAAAAAAAAGTCTTATAGAGTAGAAATGAACAAAAAAAAACTCCTAGCAATTATGAAAGGGGATGATGGAGTCACAAGTGGTCAAAATATTTAAATAAAGTTGATTATTTATCACAATAATATTTCTCAGGTGCTAGTGAACACAAATATTAAATAAACTAATTTATAAATATATTAATTAAATAAAAATGATCTCCAGCATCTTGTCAAAATAATTATAGGAATAATGATTGATGCTGACATCTATGCGTGGGAATAAGTATTATTTTTTTAAGATTCACAAGTTACCGACTGTTACATTGAGGAATAACTGTCCTTGCTCTTTATCATCAGATCCACCGTGACTGCAGACGTCGTTTTTAAAATCCCGCATGGTTCGCTAAGAGGGGGCAAAATTGAGAGAGTGGGGGAGAAAACCCGAAAGTACCCGACGGCGACATACTGGACGGGACGACTTTAATTATTCTTTCATAATTAAACATTGAGCTTAAATAGAATAACCATAAAAAGTTTGTTTACATCGACTTATACGCATGTAACTTAATACATCACTATGGCTTGCCCTCATAAGAACGACAATCAAATTGTCGCGACGATGACGTTATAATTGTCATTCGGAGGTTTAAAGGTGCAATCAAATTATTTATATTATTAATTAATTAAAAACAATTTTACGTACAACATAACTATCATTCCCAATAGAAAAAAGAATGAGCAATTTTTTGGCACTTATTACAATTAAAATAAGTCCTCACAATTAGAGATAATCGGGAATTAAATTTTAATTTTTTAATTACGATTAATTAATTAATTATTAATTATAGCAGTGGAGCAATTGTATATATCGAAAGAGCAATTCATGAGCAATTTTTTGGCATGTAATTTTTGAAAAAAAATTAATATTCGGCGCCAAATTGGTTACGGTGTTTTTCCTCTCCTCGTGTCGTCCTGTGACGTCACGGGAGCTACACATTATTTTAGCTAGTGTCGGTAACGGAAATTTCGGGTGGTTGTTCGCCAGGATGATAAAGTCGGGACATTTTGCAGTGTCTCAATATATAGTCATATACATATAATTATATATGATTATATATAACCTCATACACAATTCCATATATAATCATGTATGATTATATATATATACATATAATTATATATGATTATATATAACCTCATACACAATTCCATATATAATCATGTATGATTATATATAACTATATATGATTATATATAATTCTATATAATATTAGTAAAGGTTCAGATTAATACAGATCTATTATTTATTCTTGTGTTAATTTATTTTATCCAATTCAGCAACGTTTCGTTACGTATCGTAACTTCCTCAGGCTTCTAATAACAAACATACATAATATAAATTAAAATTAAAATCTTTTACAACAAAATTTACATCCAAAATAAATTAATATATTACAAAAATTATACCTTGAAATAAGTTAATTATTTAACACAACTGTCAATATAATAATAAATGTAGCATTACTTTTGGCTAGGTTAGCCATTCGGCTTATCTTATAAAAGCAATTGTTTAACATGACATATATACTTATATAATTATTATTTGTATAGATAATAATTATTAATCACTTAATTAGTATGACTCAATTTCTTATTATAAAACAATACATAAAATCTTCATAAATTAATTTAACCGAAATCAACATGTGAGTCAAAGTGTCAGTCACCCATAAGCCGAATGGCTAACCTAGCCAAAAGTAATGCTACATTTATTATTATATTGACAGTTGTGTTAAATAATTAACTTATTTCAAGTTATAATTTTTGTAATTTATTAATTTATTTTGGATGTAAATTTTGTAGTAAAAGATTTTAATTTTAATTTATATTATGTATGTTTGTTATTAGAAGCCTGAGGAAGTTATTACGATACGTAACGAAACGTTGCTGAATTGGATAAAATAAATGAACACAAGAATAAATAATAGATCTGTATTAACCTGAACCTTTACTAATATAATTTTCTGGGATCTGATTATTTGGATAATATTCTATATAATTATATATGTGATTTCATATATAATCATATATAATCATATATGATTATATACAATTATATATGATTATGTAGAAACATTTTTTCTCGGGATATTTATTTTTGATGAGGTTGTATTGGAAATTATGACCAGATTTATGGTTATTTCAAACTATTCTTCCTAGCTATCTCAATCCATGACGGGAATTAATAACAAGTGAGAAATTAGGTTGTAGATTGATCGAGAAAAAGGGAAGAACATAAGATAACGAGAGTGAAGAATTGATGAGTGAGAGAGTGTGTTAGTACAGGTTGATTTGGACACTTCTCTTAATTGGATCATGCATGTATATATGTGTATTCAAAAATACTGTAAATTTATGCACCAGTTACACGGGGCCGTAACATCACGCTAACTTCCTAACTAATATATTACTATTTATTAATAATTAATTGAGCAAATTATAACGTTTTATTATATCTTAAAAATTCATTACTGTTTAATTTAAGTTCTACTATTATAATTAATTATTCAAGTACATAATACACTCAAAAAATAATGAAGAAATTATAAGTGTGTGAAATAAAATAGTTATTTTGTTATAAATTGTGCATCATCATTACTGTAAATCTATCTACTTACTACGATTATTTCACCTACACGTTCTTTAAAGGACGAATACTATTAAGGGACAAACTGGTATCTCACGTGCTGATGTCCTAATCAGAATCTAGTAAAATCATCATTACCGCATATTGTAAATAATCAAAGAATAGTTACTGGCACTCGTGAGACTTTCTATCAGACTGTGTAATCTTTCTATACTGTTCTATTCATTCTAAACTTCTAAAAGTTAAATACGTCATCCGTAAGGAAGCGGATTTCCGAGAGCCAAAAAGTACACGGAAAAAAAATCCTATGAAAAATTACTATAGTAACATCGTAATCTAGGACTAGACTTACAGTATGTTGATTTTTACAATGCTGCCGTCTACAGAATACAATTTGAATTATTGAAAATTACTATGTTATTTAGTAAATTTTTTTTCCGTAAGAGCAAGTGAATAAGGACGCATACTATATGTTTTAATAAAAGAGAGACAGAGTCTAGTAGTTTGCGACGCCACCACCGAAAGATGACCAACTACTGTATGGAGGGTCTTATTATCTGACTGAATAGTAAAGTTAGGTATTCCTTACGATAGCGTAAGGGGATAAACCTTGGACTTGTGTCGGAGAGGGCACCAGGGCACCGGGTTCGATTCTTCGGTGATACAGAATTATTTTTTCGGTGACCTTAACTTCTTTTTAATTTGAGTGATAGAAATTTACGATGTTGCAACGTATAAATTACAATGTTTGAGTTCTGGTCCGGCACTACAATGTTTTATACTAAAAATTACTATGTTACCATTGTAATTTTTCATAGGATTTTCTCTCCGTGTAGTTGTCTTCAGTGTATAAATGGTGTTAAAATAGTCTATATTTCTAAATGGGAGTTCTCAGCTGAATCCGAAGATGATATGAGTTACTTTGAGCATAGAATTGAAATACCAAGAGTATGTGTACCAGAAAATTTTACCGAAGAAAAAAATAGCTGGGAAATCAAGTATCATCCACCATCACTGAGAAGCTTAGCATGTGTTACAATCCTCTCGAATACTGAAAAGTTGTCTACCAGCATTGATTTAGGGTACCTTGGTAGTATAATGGCATTTAGTTCTACTACTAAAGTATTGGCTATGTCGCGTTAATTTGATCTATCAGTCGTCACCGTACGATCATTATATGAAGTTTTATAATGGCAAATACCTTGTTATTTGAAAAACTACGATTATTTTCCTTTTTACCCTGCAACACTTTATTACTGTGGTAGTGTGATAAGCGAAATACAATAAAACCTCAAAGGGTGGTCGTAACAGACTTTGATTAGGATCTGTATGCATGAAAAGTTGTTAGGTCGTCCTTCACACCCTTGTTAGAGAAACCAGTTTTCAGAATTGGATGAAAATTTAAGTTTAAAAACAAAAAATAGTGGTAAGGAGAGAGCAAAAATTTTGTGAGTATCTGAGGAGCGGAAAAGGTCCTCAGTTGTAATTTTCTAGTTGTGAAGTTCAGTTCAAAGACAAAGTGTTTAAAAAAATGGAAAGTTAATGGTGTGGATCCATTGAGTGTGGTTTGGTGGAAGCCGTCTGGGAATTGGACAAAAACAAACCAGAGCTTTTTGAACCATTTGAGAAACGGGTGGCTTATACAGCAAAAAAATGTATTCGAGATGTGCGGAAGGAATCTTCAAGAGAACTCAACATCGATGACAGCGATATTATCGCTCAATGCCCTCATCAAGGTAAATAATAAGAAACTTTCAATAATGATAATTATCTATGATAATAAAAATTAATTTTTTTAATTACTTTTACAAGGCAAGGTGGCCTCTATGATTTTATTGAGCAAGGAATGGAACAGAAGTTCTTTAATATCGTGAAGAACTTATTCTTTCATCAAAGAGGTAAATTATTTACACATCAGTATTATTATTATATTATCGACTGGTGATTACATTTTTTAACTTATCGGATTTGATTTCAGAATGGGAGATTGACCAACAGGAAGAAAAAGAACAGGAGGAAGAAGGAGATTCTCAAGCAGACTTCTTCGGCGAGGAGGATTCGTCGACTCTATCCATCCATAAAACAGGTATTTTATTTTCACAATACTATTATTATAATGTTATGAATTAATTACCAATATATAAATAAATATAATTGATTTCATTTCAGAAAGTGCAAGTGCTCACGAGGAAGAGTGCTTTCAATCCACCTATGACGAGGAGGAAGAGGATTTGTTATCTCTGATAAATTTAGAGAACCTCACCCCGTCACAAAATTCTCTCATAACAGCTGTGTTGAGAGAATGCGAAAAGGAGAAAATACTCCCAATCCATTTGCCTGAGGCGGAGATTCCGGTAATAACAATTGATCAAGATATCCCTCTAATTACTTTGGATGGAGAAGAAGATAAAAACCTCTTCAAGGAAAAATCAGCTCTCTCGCAGAAGATAGACGATGCCGCAAAAAAGTTCTTTGCGGAGATAAAACTCAGGAAGAGAAAGGACATCACGATATTAGATAATAATATCGTGAATAATAAATTTGTAATGTTTGGGAAAAAATCCAAAATTCAATAATAATAATATGTATTACTGTTTAAATAAAATTCATCTAAGATAGAATCTCAATAAATATTAGAATTGAAAAAAAGAAAATCAATTTTTTTCTTCATTTATTAGTAATAAGAACCTATTTTTCTAACTATAATATATATTAGGGTGGTCGTTAAAAATTAAATTTTTTGCGGTGCCCACAAAAATCCTTCCTTAGAACGAGAAATTACGGGAAAAATTTTGCTTTTTGATTTTAAACGAAAAGAACACGTGCCGACGGGCAATTGAAGTTTTTCAATTGAAAATTTTTCGATAAAGTTATAGTTTTTTGAAATATTTGTTACGGTATTCAAATTTGGACAAGAAATCATGAAAAAAAGCTTGTAGGAAATTAAATTCTCTACAAAAGGATTTCTTTCATTTTTAGATGAAGCTCATATCTATCGAGATAGTCTTATTAATAAACTCATAAACTTCATTAAGTCAGTCATTTTAGCACTGAAAACTTTATTTTTCCAGAAATATGAACAATTTTATAACTTCTATTCACAATTAGTTATTTAAATAGGCCTTGCAAATGATAACAAAGTTATATTTGATATTATTTCCTTCTTTTCAAAACGAAAATGTGCAAATTTATTTCTCATAAATTGGTTTATCAATTCCAAGGTTTAAGTAAGCTTTCTTTTGTATTTTTTATGTTTCCAGCTCTGTAATCATCCAAAATTTGAATATTAAACTGCTTCTGATCTTCTGATAATTATCAGACTTGTTTGAACGCTGTAAATAATTTACCAGTTGTGAACGATGTTGCTGAACGCGATGTAAAATTAATGCGAGAATCCAATGATTTGTTTACGAAAGATGAAGATCAGAAGCAGTTTATTATTCAAATTTTGGATGATTACAGAACTCGAAACATAAAAAATACAAAAGGAAGTTTACTCAAACCTTGGAATTGATAAATCAGTTTATGAGAAATAAATTTGCACATTTCCGTTTTGAAAATAAGGAAATAATATCAAATATAACTTTGTTATCACTTACGAGGCCTATTTAAATAACTTATTGTGAATTAAAGTTATAAAATTGTTCATATTTCTGGAAAAATAAAGTTTTTAGTGCTAAAAAAACAAGTACGATGTGGTTAAAAATACATTGAAAATAAGTTTCTACCTGTTATACAAATAATAGCTACGCATCCTAGAAAAATAATAGAATTAAACTTAAACGAATCGAAAAAACTGTGCTTTTCAACAGAATCATTTGGTAACTATTTCTATGAAGAAGTAAACAATAATTTCTATCGCAAGTTCTGTTCAATTCAATGTGAAGACCTGCACATAGAGTTCTCCGAGTTCTACGTAAAGAACTATCATTTTACCTTTCTTTTTTGCAATGTATCTATTGATCAAATAGTTCAGTACGTAGATATTATCCATCGTCCCCCCTCCTCTCTTAAATCCAGCCTGACTCTCCGGTAGTAGCCCCCTTTTTTCAACATCTATCCTCATCCTTTTTTCCAAAATTCCCACATATACCTTGTACGCCGTCTGCGTTAAAGTGACTCCTCTGTATTCTTCTACTTTACTTCCCTCCCCTTTTTTCACAATAGCCGCCACTACCCCTTCCTTCCAATCTTCCGGCCACCCCTTTTCCTCCAGACCCTTTGACATATTCTCCATAATTCCCTCTCTATCTTCTCCCCTCTATATTTCTACGCCTCATTCGGGATTCCATCTTCTCCCATTGCTTTATTGTCCTTCAAACTTTTCACTGCTTCCCTGATCTCCTCTAGTGATATATCCCCTTCCTCCTCCACCCTATTTTCTCTTACTTCATTTTCCTCCTCCATTATCCTATGTTTCCTCTCTTCTGTCCCTCCAAACAGCACTTTAAAGTATGTGTCCCATTCTTCCACACATATCTCTGTTGATCGGTTTTTTTCTTTTTCTTCCTTCATTTACAACTCTTCATATCTGCTCTTCACTCCGTATCTTTTTTATCCATTCCTCCCATCTCTCTTATTCTTCTTTCTTTTTCTTCTCGCACAGACTCTTGTATCTCTTTTTCTTTCTCAAATATACATCCTTTTCTACTTTGTTATTCCTAAACTTCTGGAGCGTTTTTCTTAAATTTCTTTTTTCCTTCTTGCATTCTTCATCCCACCAGCTGGACTTTCCTACTTTCTTCTCCCTGAGTTTTTCTGTCACCTTCACTGCTCTTCTCGTATTTTCTTTCAGCGTTTGCCAATCTTCTTCCACGCTTCTTTCTCCTCCGTCCCATTCTGTAAACTCCTCCTCAAATTTCTTTATGCCTTCTTTCGACGATAATCCTCTCACTGCTCCTTTATCAGCTCTTCTTCCTCCTCTTCCGTTCTTACCCCCCGTCACTTCGATTCCTACTACCACTGGCATATGGTCCGATTCTACTCTTTCCTCTACCGTAACTTCCGTGATCTTTTCCTGCAGCTTATCATTGGTAAGTATTAGGTCAATGACCGAGCAGCCCCTTTCCCCTATGAACGTCCATCTTCATCTCCCTTAATACACCTATTTGCTATAGCCCAGCCTCTATCACTCAGGAATTTACATAGCTCATTTCCCTCTTTGTTTATCACCTTATCTTTCGAGTTCCTGATTTCTTCACCCTCTGCTGAGGTCAGTCCTCTCTCTCTTCCTGTCCGTGCATTAAAATCCCCTCCTATAATCACTCTCTCATTGACCTCTTCCATTCATCTCCCCATTAAATCCATTTTCCTCTCTAAATCACCGTTTATATAAACTCCCACAACCTACCACTACTCCTTTCCCAATTTCACCTCAATGTCTGTCCATCCCTCGTCGTTCACAATGTTTCTTTTACCTGTTTCTATTTTCTCTTTCACCACCAACATTCCTCCTTCGCTCTTCCTCTTCCTTTCAGCACCCTTGCTTCCTGTACTTCCCATATGAATCCCTTTTTTTAGCTCTGTTTTATCCTATCGCAGCCTTTTTTATCCACCCAGATCTCTATTAATAGAGAAGCCTACCTTATACACTCTCTTATCTTCTGCTTTGTCTTTTCTCCCCCCCCCCTTTTCCCCCACCTCCCTTCCTTTACCCGTTTCCCTCTTCCATTTTCCAATCTTCCCCCGACTCATTCCATAGTTTCAGCTCGTCATTAACCCATATCTTCATGTATCCCACTTTTACCCTTCCTCCATTCGCTCTCTCTCTTCTTGCTTCCTCCATTATCAACCTTTGTATCCTTCTTTTTTCTCTCGTGAAATCGTCTTCGATTCTTACTTTTTCTCCTTTCAATTTACTTTTTGCCACCGTAACCTCTCTTTTTTTCTCTAATCCTTCCATTTCTATCAGCACTAAACCTTTTCCTTCCTTGTCAATCTCTCCAATCTTCCTCATGCTTCTTCTGCCTCCTTCAACACCTATCTTCTGCCAAATTCTCTCGATCTCCTTGTTCCAATCCCGATTTCTTTGCAGTAGTGTGTCTAGAGGGTCTGGTTCCATCGGTAAAACAGATTTGTGAGTTCGTGTCACTGATACGTTACCGACCGTAGATATGGATGCCCTGTTTTACCGACCCGTTCTTATCGATGTGGGTATGGTGGAGGGTTTTCGTAGGTGGCGCTGGTGGTGAATTCTGCCGCCATTTTGAATTTGCTATCCGCCATCTGGTGGCTGCTATCTGAGTCTGAAATCTGCCATTTTGAGTCTGAAATCCGCCATTTTGAGTTGTGAATCCGCCATTTTGAATTTGCTATCTGAAATCCGCCATCTGGTGGCTGCTATCCGCCATTTTGAATCTGATTTCCACCATTTTGAATCTGAATTCAACATTTTGAGGTTAGAAAAAAGTATCCTCAACCATTAACCTGCTTTAGGCTTGCCATTACAGATCAATAGTTCAGGATTACGCATTTGGAGTATGATGTATCCATGTTTTATATATTCAATAATAATAATAATAATAATATATCTAATAAGAGTAGATTAATTAAAATAAACAAACTTCTCATTTTAGAAAATACTGTCCAGTGAAGCTGATAATCCGAATGAACCGCGAAAGAAATGCGTTCGTAGTGAAGGAGTGGAAACACCAGCACAACCACAATCCTTTAAAGGTATAATACGTTTACACTTCTGCACACATGTATATTTCATTTCTTTAATATTTGAAAATCATTTTAAACTTCATTTCGAAATAAAAAAAACTACACATCATCACAATATAAAGACTAATAAACTTCCATGAACAATCACACAAACAAAAACACACACTCACTATAGGTACTAAAAAAATATTATAATAATTAAATTGATTTCAGGTTAAAAAGCCCAAGAAATCATGGGAACAAAAGTTCGCAGATAGAATGAGCGGGAAGAAGAAAGAAAGAAAAGGAAAAAACAAGAAAAAGACGCTGGAAGAAAGTGTAGTAGATGAATATCTAAAAGTATTGTCAGAATGGATAATTGATAATCCTGATAACTTGCCAGAAAAATTAAATTTGATAAAGAATTGTGGAGAAAAGATAGCTGAAATGGATGGGAAGAAAGATCAAATAACATTCCCAAAGGTAGATTCTAGTGAAGATGAGGAAGGAAATATATCAGAAATAGAGAATGAAGAAAACACACATGAAGAAGAAAACACACATGAAGATACTAGGTGTAAAAAATAACAGTGAAGAAGAGAGGTTAACAAGAAGAGACAAGAAAAAAAAACGAGAAGAAAAGAAAAAAGAAAAAAAGAGAAAGCAGAAGGAAGATAATGAAGTATCACTGCCGAAAAAAAAAAATGTCTGGAAGAAGATAAAAGAAAGAAAAAAGAAAAAGAAGCAGAGGAAAATAAAGAGAACGAGAAAATGAACGAAGACATGGAAACGATCTTTAATGGTGAAAACAAAGAGAATACACCGAACAAAAGTGACAAGAGTATAACGAAACCGGTAAAACAAGATTATAAACAAATTGAATGGGTGGAAGAAAACAGAGAGGAAAAAAATAAACAAACTGGAAGTACACAAGAACCTATTGCAGAAATTCAAAAAATGAGAGAAGATATTGAAGCGAAAAAAGGAGTGGAAGAAAAAGAGCAAAATGATAATTTTTCAAATGCAGAAATAATGTATCACGAAAATATGAAAAGTGACTTGAGTATTCAGGAAAATCAGGTAACGGTAGAAGATCTATTACAGATATTGATAAAGAAAGAAGTATTGAAGGAAAGGAAAGAAGGATACGTGATCAAATTGGAAGATTTAAAAGAAATGAATGATGAAATAAAAAGTTATTTAAGAGAGCATGCAATAATGGTGGATGAGTTAAAAAAAAATGGCAACTACAGAGGTTATGCAATCGGTCTATTATTCATTACAAAATGGCGCAGTTTAAAAATTGAAAGAGTGAAGATTAAAATAAATGTGACATAGGCAGAACAAAAATAAAAAATGCACAACATTTGTTTGAACTAAATACTTTTACAATCAGTTTTAATGTGCAAATATATAATTAAAACAAAATAAATAAATAAATAATCCTTGTCTAAATTTTGATTAAATAATCGTTGAAATTTTTAATAATAATTTCTCTACCCTACCCAACTGATCATTGCAGTAATTTTCCCGTAAGTAAAACGGTCACCCGTTTAAAAATAAACGAGCCTGTAATTTCTTGTTAGTTTAATTAATTAATAAAGAAAATTCATTTTTTTTCTTTGTTATCATACAATTAATTATTTTTAACAGTAATCCTCCCAATTATCTAATCATTGCAATAATTCCCGCAGCAAATACAACGGTCAGCCGTTTAAATATAAACGGGCGTGCAATTTCTGATTTGTTTGATTAATTATTTAAGAAAATTCCTTTTTTTTTTCTTTATTATTACACAATTTATGATTTTTAACAGTAATCCTCCCAAGTAACTGATCACTGCAATAATTCCCGCTGCGAATAGAACGGTCACCTGTTCAAAAATAAACGGGCGAGCAATTTCTTGTTTGTTAGGCTGATTAATGAAGAAAATTAATCTTTTTCTTCTTTATTGTTATGTAATTAATAGTTTTAAATAAGAATACCTCGCGTTATCTAATTATTGCAAATTTTTTGCCCGTGAATAGAACGGTCACCCGTTTAAAAATAAACGGGCGTGCAATTTCTTGTTTGTTAGGCTGATTAATGAAGAAAATTATTCTTTTTCTTCTTTATTGTTATGTAATTAATAGTTTTAAATAAGAATACCTCGCGTTATCTAATTATTGCAAATTTTTTGCCCGTGAATAGAACGGTCACCCATTTAAAAATAAACGGGCGTGCAATTTCTTGTCTAGTAATTTAAATAATTACGACAAATTTTTTTTTCTTGATTATTTTCATGTAATTTATCATATTCAATACTTATACCCCGAGCAAACCGATCATTTTAATTATTTTCTCCGCGAACATATTGGTCACCCGTTTAAAAATAAACGGGCGTGCAATTTCTTTAGCGTATGGTTAATGAATTAAAAAAATTATTTCTTTTCTGGTTTATTATTATACAATTAATTATTTCTAATATTAATTCCCCTAACAATCGGATTATTACAATTATTCTCCTTGCGGTCACCCGTTTAAAATTATACGGGCTGGCAATCGTTGGTTATTACGTATTATTATTATTTAAATAATTTTTTTTTTATAGTTTTTAATTTATAATTATTTTTTTTCTTCTTTATTCTTGTATAATTAATCATTCATTGAAATAATCACCTCAGTTATATCTGATCATTGCAATTTTTTTGCCCGCGAATTGAACGGTCAACTGTTCAAATATTAACAGGCGTGTAATTTCTTATTTGTTTGATTAATTAATGAAGAAAAAAAAATTTTTTTTTTTCTTATTAATTAATTAATCATTTTTAATATTTTTCCCCCAAATTATCTGATCATTGCAATTTTTTCGCTCGTGAATGAACGGCCACCCGTTTATTAATAAACAGGCGTTCAATTTCTTGTTAACTTAAATATTAGAAAAAATTATTTTTTTTCTCCTTTATTATTGAACGATTAATTATGTTTAATAATAATTTCTCCAGATATCTGATCCTTGCAATTTTTTCGCCCGCGAATTAAACGCTCACCCGTTTAAATATCAACGGGCGTGCAATATCTTGTTTGTTAGGTTAATTGGTGAAGAAAATTATTTTTTTTCTTCTTTATTATCATTCAATTAATCATTTTTAATAATTATCTTCACAGTTATCTGATCATTGCAATTTTTTCGCCCGCGAATTGAACAGTCACCCGTTGAAAAATAACCGGGCGTGCAATTCCTTGTTTTTTAAGTTAATTCATGAAGGAAATTGTTTTTTTTTTTTATTGTTATTTTCATATAATTAATCATTCTTTAAAATAATCCACTCGGTTATCTGATCGATGCAATTTTTCTGCCCGCGAATTGAACGGTCACCCGTTCAAATATAAACGGGCGTATAATTTCTTATTAGTTTGATTAATTAATGAAGGAAAAATTTTTTTTTTTTATTATTATACAATTAATTATTTTCATGAGTGATCTTTCCAATTATCTAATCATTGTAATGATTCCCGCAGCGAATAGAACGGCCACCCGTTTAAAAATAAACGGGTGTGCAATTTCTCGTTTGTTAAATTAATTAATACAGGAAATTATTTTATTTGATTTTTTTATTATAATGTTATTAATTATTTTTAATAATCATCTTTACAGTTATCTGATCATTGCAATTATTTTGCCTGCGAATCGAACAGAAACCCGTTCAAAAATAAACGGGCGTGCAATTCCTTGTTTTTTAAGTTAATTCATAAACAAAATTATGTTTTTTCTTCTTTATTCTTGTATAATTAATCATTTATCAAAATAATCCTCTCAGTTATCTGATCATTGCAATTTGTTTGCCCGCGAATTGAACGGTCACCCGTTCAAATATAAATGGGCGTGTAATTTCTTATTTCTTTGATTAATTAATAAAGAAAATTACTTTTTTTCTTCTTTGTGTTACGTCCAAGCTTTGGACATAAATTATTAAATTATTTTGGTCCTGGTATTTTTCAACCACTAGACCGGGAACCCAGAAGGATGTCAGAAAACGGTGTGGTTGTCTTTTGTAGATATTTTTATATAATTAATTATGAATTTCAGAATTTAAAATTTTAATAATATATATTCACAAAACGTTTAAAGTTACAGATTTACAAGTTAAGTTTACATATTTCAATTTAATCATACCTGGTCGTAGACACACATATACACTGTATAATATTATCCTATTCTTTTCGACATTTTATTTTATTCAAAATTTACTTTTAAAATTATTTTAAATTATTTTAAAATTATTCTTCTTAGTTTACGTGGAAGAAACACCGGCCACTAACTAAGATTTAGGCGATCCGCAACTTAGAAACATTATCCTAGCGATTCCTCGACGGGAGTCTCTGATGAGACTCCCGCACGAAGGTGCCACCCATCTACTAGCTAGAATTGATCTCCCTTCAAGACAGAACAGGACTACTCAGGAAGAGTTCAAGCGAGGATCTCTGGGCCTCGAAACTTCGGGCGTTTCCAAATTTCTATTTGGGGGAAAACAGTATCCAATTAGCTGTCTATTTCCCTTAGACTCTACCCTCTCTTTCAGGTTTTCCGAAGATGTTCGCTTGCACTCCCTTCTTTGGGCCTAGAGGCATGATGTGCCTCTCTCTCTCTTACTTATAGGCTATTTGTACCTATGTATTGGTCTACATGCAAGTACATTTACATACACACAAATACATAGTTTCCTTATTTAACTAAATCTTTTATATTATTTATAAATATTACTAATTTATTTCTTAATTAATTATTTATTCAATTATTTATTGATAATAAATTCATTATCAATAATTAATTATTAATCTTCTGTGTTTATTTAAAATTTTATATTGTTTTAAATTTTTTTAAAGAATTATTTAAAATGTTCCCAAAAGAGATTATTATTATTTTAATTATTATTTCCTTAAAGAATTATTTAAATTATTTTTAATTTACGTTACATTATATTATTTACTATTATTCGTTATATTGTTATTTGTTATTTAACTATTTTATTTCTAAAATTATTTATTATCTAATCTTTTTATTTTTTTAATCTTTATATTTTACTTAGGGTTTTTTTTTTTAAGTTTATCTTATTTAAAACAAACTAAAAACTTTCCCAGACTTTGTCAGTGATGCCATTGAAACTAAGGGCAATAAAACTCCCATTTATTTGTGTACTTAGGATTTTAATCTTTTCAAAGCATTCATTTTTCTAACGTCGGGAAAATTTTTAGAGAGACCGGACGAGATACTTAATGTTTTTCTCGTTAAATGTTTCTCGAATTTTATGCTTTGAAATAAAATTCGAAGAAACCATAAAATAAAAAAAAATGTATTTTAAAAAAAGAGATTAAAATAAAAGAAACTATCGTTGTAAGCCACGACGTAACATTTGTTATTGTATAATCAATCATTTTCAATAATAATCCACCTAGTTATCTGATTATAGCAATTTTTTTGCCTGTGAATAAAACGGTCACCCGTTCAGAATTGAACGGGCGTGCAATTTCTTTTTTGTTAGGTTAATTAATAAACAAAATTAATCGTTATCTTTTCTATTATCATATGATTTATTATTTTTAATAATAATTCCTTAAGTTATCTGATCATTGCAATTATTTTAGCTGCGAATGGAACGGTCACCCGTTTAAAAAAAAAACCCGCCTGCAATTTCTAGTTTGTTCGGTTAATTAAGGAAGAAAATTATTTTTTTTCTTCTTTATTATTATATAATTAATCATTTTCAATAATAATCCCCCCAGTTATCTGATCGTTGCAATTTTTTTGCCCGTGAATAGAACGGTCACCCGTTCAAAATTAAATGGGCGTGCAATTTTTTGTTTGCTAGTCGAAATAATTGAGACAATTATTTTTATTCTTGATTATTTTTATGTAGTTAATCATATTCAATACTTATACCCCGAGCAAACCGGTCATTGCAATTATTTTCTCTGCGAACATATTGGTCACCCGTTCAAATATAAACGGACGTGCAATTTATTATTTGTTTGATTAATTAATAAAGAGAATTCTTTTTTTTTTCTTTATCATTATACAATTAATTATTTTTAACAATATTCGTCCTAATTATCTGATCATTGCAATAATTCCTGCAGCGAATACAACGGTCACCCGTTTAAAAATAAACGGGTGTGCATTGTCTTGTTTGTTAAGTAAATTAATGAATAAAATTATTTTTTTCGTTCTTTATTATTAAATAATTTATGATTTTCAATAATAAGCACCCCACCTATCTGATCATTGTATTTTTTTGCACGCGAATAGAACGGCCACCCGGTTGAGAATAAACGGGCGTGCAATGTCTTGTTTGTTGGGT